ATACAGTCGACCCCCCTATAATTACGGTCCCTATAATTACGATTCCTATAAAACTACGAAAAAATATACGTATTTTGGAAATGTTGAGTCGGATTAGTCTAGAATCGATTAATTTTATGGAAGAAAACCTTTCAATCAGCCGTAGTCCGTAAACTTTACACGTGTCGGGCTGTGATTGGAACGACTCGTAAGAAATCGGATTCCTAAAAAATGGAACGTATCTATGATCTTATAGGGGGTCGACTGTATTGAAAAATATAAAAATAAAAAATACACTTTAGAAGTTAATCTAGTATCAAAAACGCTCGATTCAGCATAACGCAGTCCTCAGAAAAACACCACACAAAAATGACAGTGCTGCCAGCTAAATCACATACACAAACATAAAAAATATTGGAGTAGCTCAAGATATAGCCAAAGATTGCAGCGCCACAGCACTAGCAAAAATTTAAATTTTCCAACTGGAATTATTTCGGATAATTGACGTTTCGGATAAACGACGCTCTACTGTATTGAAATAGAGTATAAGCCTGTCACTATATTTATATATACACTGGCGGAAATTGAAAGTGTTACACCCAGCCATTATTGTTTAAGACATATGAAATTGGCGCAAAAGAATCTCTTTTTGAAGGGTATTGAATGATCAAAAATTAGTAGTAGTGCCTAGCGGGACCAGGCCATATGTAATATACATGTAAAAAAAAAGAAATATGATCAAAAATTAAATAAAGTACATACAGTGGTATGGAAATTATGGAGACACTTGTTATGCAAAATTGCTATAGTGTTTAGTTTATAAGTTGTGAACTGTGTTAGGGAACATGACTTTTATTGGTCCACAGGTTGTTGGTGACCAGCTATGGCATATCGACAAGTGAGAACTCCGTACACCCAAATGTCTGACGTTGAAATCGAATAATTGGATCAATTGAGATAATCGGATAAGGTCGAATAGTTGGCATTTCATAAATGGGAGCATCATACCGTGAAATCGCCCAAAGGACTGACCGTACTGCCATGTCAGTACAAAGAGTAGTCACAAGGAATGGTCCAATACTCGCAGACCTGGCACAGGTCCATGCAGAAGGACGACGCTACATGAAGACCACCATGTTGTGCAGATGGCAGTTGCTGACAGATGGGCGACGGCAGCACAGGTTCAAGCAGTAGTTACTGCCAGAGTCACCCCACAGACAATTGTAAACCGATTGCTTGATGCTGGGCTGAGATCTTGGACCCCCATGCAATGTATTCCCTTAATCAGATTTCATTGCCAACAACAGCTGACGTGGTGTGTGCTATACGTAATTGGACATATGAATGGTGTACAGTTGTGTTTAATGATGAATACCAATTCTGTTTACGCCAATGTGATAGTCAGCAACATGTTTGCCGGCGTGCTGGAGAAACAGCCCGCCCTGCTGTAATTTCAGAGTGTTACTCATGTCCAACTCCTGGTGTCATGGTTTGGGAAGCAATCAGTTACGAGAGCAGGACCGAGTTGGTGGTTGTTGAAGGCACAATGACCGCCCGCCAGTGTGTGGACAGGGTGATCCAACCAGTAGTCATACCTTTCATGAACACAATCCAAAATGTATCTTCCAACAAGATAATGATCATCCTCATGCTGCTGCCATCACAAGACAAGCCTTGCAAAGTGTCGCAATCATGGATTGGCCCACCCAGTCTCCAGATTAATCCCCTATAGAGCATGTTTGGAATGCCATTGGTAGACCGATTATATCTCATAGCCATCCAGCGCGCACTGTACAATAACTGACTGCACAAGTTGTGCAGGCATGGAGGCATATCCCAACAAGTTGTGCAGGCATTAACCACAAGTGCAGGCATGCCCACAAGTTGTGCAGGCATGCCCCAACAAGAACACAAACATGCAGGCATACCCCAACAAGACATTCAAGCAGTTATTGATTCAATGCCTGCAAGGATCCAAGAGTATATCGATGCTCAAGATGGGCACACCACTTACTAAAACATGTACCAAACAGCGCTAAAACCTTGCTTAATTCATTTCATTTTGTGTTCATTTCTTCTAGGTATGCCCGTATACATGTTTACCAAGTTTCGTGAATTTCCACCAATTCCATCTGGGTGTAACACTTTCAATTTCCACCAGTGTATATGCGTGCATATGTTTGAGTGTGTAGGTGTATTTGAAGAAAACAGTAATTAGGAAGAAAGTAAAAAATCAAATAAATATATTACTAAATTGGTTTTTATTATCATGAAAGCGTAAAATAAGTTCTTAAGATATCTTCACAATATAAAAATGATTTACAAATAGAAATATCGTAATATTATAAAACGTTTTTATTCACGATTTCTGTTTTTAAAAACTTTCTATAGTAGTCGACTTTAAAATTCGTAGAAAATTAATGATTTTGACTCTGTAAATGCTGAATCAGGCCTTAATAAAAAAAATAAAAAGAAAATAAGTTCGATTGTTAATTGAGCAAAGATACTTTCCCATGAGGAAAGTATTATAAATTAAACCGCACTTGACAGAGATCGTGTGCATAACCAAAGAAATTAGAATCTGACAAATTCTCTAAAATTCCAATATTTATTGTTTTCGTATTATAATGTCATATTAGGCCTCGATATACGATAATATAAACGCGTTGTTTTTATTTTGCCAAAATGTCGCGTAAATGACAACATAAGCAGGTAAACAATACGATACACTTATTAATACATAAAAATTAATTATGAAAGTAATTTTTATTATAAAGCGATAAACATTATCTAGAAAATGTTGACTTATAAGAAATAACAATCAATGTTTTCTCTTAAAATCTTAAGATAAAATAATCTAAATCACAGTTATAATAAAAATGTTATTTTAAATATTTTTCTAACATCGTCAGTAATGTAATAAAATATTTAATATAAAATTCTACATTTTCTAATGAACGTTGCAGATAATGTTACGTAATGTTTAAAAATAGATAAAAATATTATTTACAGTATTTATCGAAGAAAATTTTTTGTTTTGTACTTTAAAATGAGGCGTGTTAACTAATATTAAATAATAAATTTTTTATTATAGTTTTATGTAGTAGTTTTCTTAAAACGCATGTACTAGAAATTTATTTTATATATATTATTATTTTAAAAAATTAAAANTCTCGAGAATTGAGTTAAACATATGAAAGACGAAACCAAACATGGAATGCTTAGAAGGTAATTAACTATATACAAACGTCCGGTTTGGACCAAAACTTTCGCTATTTCAATTTGATATTGTTACATTTATATTATTTTTTTATAATATTTAATTATAATACTAATGAATATATTTCTTACCCCATGCATTTTGTAGAATATTCTGAGTTTCGTTAATTTCGATTTCCTTTGCATTTACAATTATGTAAATGAAGCAGAGAAATGAACTTAAGCGCAAAATATTGCTCATGATGCACTAAGACCGAATCTAATATTGATACAACATTCACTATTTATAAGTTTATTAGTTTCCTTTTCGTAATCTTTCGTTTATTTATCTTATTTTTAAACTGTGATATTAAACTGTTATCTAAACATAGATTATAAATAAATTACTTCTATCATTTTTATTAATGTGATGAAATTTTAGTTGAAACATCAATATCCATTCGTGTTATAATACTGATAAAAATTTTGCCATTCAACTGTTTTATAAAGACTGAAAGTAATAAATGTTTTGTTTGATAATACTGTACAAAATATTGTAATATAGCACTAGTTTTTGAAGCGCCAGTTTGTCCAGGGCTGTCCTTATCATATTTGCTGTTTAGATATCGTGTAATTATGCCGCCTTTCAACTTTAATCTAACGTAACCTTTAATCAATCCGAAATTGAAGTAAGAAAAGAGAAGAGTTTAATATCAAATTTTATCGACAGTGAATCAACCGTTCAACATGGTTTTCATAATTACACTTATTGGAAGTAATACAAGCAGGAGGTAACATTGTTTTGAAAATTGATAGTAAATTCCCATTACACTTCGAAATATGTATAAAAACACAATAATTTACAAGATATTTGCTGTTTCTGTGCTTGTACATTAATTTTCTTTAGGTAAACTACTACGTTAGTTTATTTTAATATATTCTGCGTAAGATAAAGAACAAAGGCAGTACTTAGCTATTGAGAGAGGGTAAGGGTCTACAGTAAAATATACTACCGAACGACGATGTGAATTATTATAAAATTTTCTGCATCCGTTTGTTATAAACATTATTTTATGATTCTGCTGCTATCCTTTACGTAAAATTTCAATATGTATCCGGTTCAGACACCGTTATTTTCTAGGAATTATCACATCCACAGACTACGATAATACAAGCCAATTAACAACTTTATTTTACCCAGATGCATTTCGGAAATCACAATATCTTCTTAATCAGTGGATTTTTACATACAAGCTAAACAACGCACAGACACTTTTTTAATACTCTCACACAATTGTTCAATATTCCAACAATTTTTTTACTAATTTTTCACAATAAAGCCATTTTTCCTGTATTTTTTTAACCTGACTCAACGTCTTCCAATTCGATTAACGGTCGACCGTTGACCACCAACTTCTGGTTCAAACTCACCTTCCAACTAACTTGTAAGAGGGTGAGTTTCAAAAATCCAAATTACTTATTGTAACATCGTCACTATGTCGGCTGCAATTTTTAATCACATTTTAATTTAAATAAGTAATATATGATCACAATTTTAATCTATCTATCTTTATTCTCGATACAAAGGATTCTCTTTAAATAACCGGTGCATATTTGGCAGAGAAACGGAGATCTTCCAGGTGCCTAGATGCCATATTACACTTTGAAGGACCTTTCCATACCAGCCATAATGCTGCTCTCCATAAGAAGATCCCGGATACAACACGAACAAGCGAAAATTGGACACAGAGGTATTTTTAGATTGATGTAAACTCTCTCAGAAATAATCAAATAGAAATATATATTTAGTTAGGCCTTCGACTTAGCTTTTATGTTTATAACCATCAAAATTTTGATCTATGCTAATTATATTTTATCCCTGTTTATTTAGTTTATTAAACATTTTATTATTTGTTAATTTGAGCTCGAAGTCGATTTACGTCATGTCGGACTCCCGTTACAGTACTTATGCACGACTCCGCCACTCAAGTTTAATACGACCGTCCTTTTTGAACGACATTACTTTCTATCGCTAGTTGGGACGTGATATTAAAATAATAAATTTTAACTAGTGTCAGGAAATAGACCCGTAAACTCATAAGACTTCCGGTCATCTTAAATCTTTCATCGTAGCCAATCACCGACCTGGTGAGCAGGTCTTAACGTCCCGACGGATCTAAGGATTCGAGTAGAATTCTCGAACCCCCGTATTCTCACATAAGCCCCATTTAACAATAGATAACAGATTATTTACAGACTTACCGTTTAACATTGTATTATTACTTTCTCGGCGACCGATCAAAAGTGACCTCCAAGATGTTTACATTTTTGACACAAAAGATTTTGAAACGTCAAGAAATGCAAAAATAGAAGAGAAGGATTTTTCTATACGTATGGAGGTTTGTTTGTGTGTGGGGAAGCCACGATTTTGTTCATCCAATTTGAGACTTAATTTCTGTTTCTTTTCTAAAAAATTTCTGAAATTTTGAGGGAGACTTCACGGGGATTTATGCTATAGTTCAAACACTGTAAGGTTAGAATAAGGTTGTCATTAAAATGCATTTAGGATTTATATTTTGTATTTTTTATGATCTATGCAATTAAATTTTTATGGTTAATGATCGAGGATGTGGAAAAACAGAGAGAAGTTGTGTCATATTTCCAATAGAGTCAGACNTAGTCTGACTTATAGCTTTGAAACCAATGGCAGAACTGGCATCTCCATTCGGACCTGGCCGAAAATTGATCTTAATGAAAGGCGTGGACTTCATAGTCCATACTATTAATTAAATCATATATAAGACATTTTTAGTAAGCTCATACTTTACAATTTCTTTCAGTGAAAAGTTTAGCTTTTATTAAATTTCTACTATGAAAATTTTCAATTATTGTTTACTTTTCTCTTTTTTACACTGATTTCTAACAGTGGAGCGATTTTCAAAAAACAAAAAAAAAACACTCACAATCGAGTGGTAGCTCACAAACTGTAAGCAATCCGTATCAAGTTAACTAAGGTAATATATACAACACAATTTTTAAACAACTATTGTAACACATAATTAATTAATTTTTGACGATATTACACACAAATGACACGTGTTGAATATCAATTATAATATATCCGACACATGACATTTGTCGAGTTATATAACGTACTAAAAGTAAATTTGTTACCTTTTCCAATTTGAAGAATATGCTGTGTTTCAATGATTGGGATTCCATTTACATTTACGATTATGAAAATGAAGCATATAAATAAACGAAAACTAACATTATTGTTCATGATGTACTATGAATCTAATATAATATTGATTATTTACGAATTTATTGAAGTTTCGTTTTATTACACTTTGTGTTTCTTATCTTTTTTTTGAATTGATATTTTTTACTTATCTACACGAAGTCAAATTATTTCTACAATTGTATCAATGTTAAGAAATTTCAGTATGAACATTAAAATAGATTTGCATTTTAATCGTCATAAAAGTAAAATTACATTGATATACCAGTGTTTTGTCTGTAGAAATGGCCACTAAATACTACATCCTATATAAATAAATGAATTTTAAAAAACCTTATATAATATTAAAATCGTTATCTGCACACAAAATATCTTTTTATCAGTCAGCAGCATATAGTTTCAGTTTCAAATTTAATTAAAAAACAAATCGAGAAATCCTTTACTGTATTTTACTGCACATTACTGTAGTCTTAGCTATATTTTAAATCTCAAATATTTCAGTGCAAACTATCATCATATATACTAATAATTTAATGTTTAAAATTGAATTTTTTTAAAAAAAAATTAAAGGTAGCCTATGTAAACTAAACATTCGTAATATAAAAATAAATTTATTCTGAAGGATGTGCGGATACAAAAAGTAATTAATTAATTTAAAGAAATGTAATTAATAAGAGTATTCTGTCCGCTTAAGAAAATCGAATCTACCCCCATTGTCTTTTGGTTTTTCAAAGATCTGTCTTCTCATGTATTAAAAGATTCTACAAGTTCTCAGTCGTAACTTAGCGAATGTTCTAAATTTTTTTACGAAGTTCTGCAATGGAATTAATTTCCCATATTTCTTTATACAATTTCAGCTTTAACTGGTGCCAAGAACATTCTACAGGCGTCAGTTAACATATATAAGACATATTGTTTACACAAAAAAGTTAGGTTTTGTTATGTATGTCAATGGCAGCAATTGTCTCTGGAGAGTAGTGAGTTGTTTCCATATGCATAAGTTTAGCTTTTATTAAATTTCTACTATGAAAATTTTCAATTATTTTTTACTTTTATCTTCTTTTACACTGATTTCTAACAGTGGAGCGATTTTCAAAAAACAAAAAAAAACCCACTCACAATCGAATGGTCAGCTCACAAACTGTGAGCAATCCGTATCTTTGTCAAAACAAACAATCTCTATTCGAACTAGTCTCTTCTTGGAGCACTCCGTGTTAACCGTGAGAACATTGCGTTACTTATGAACCTCAATTCTGGAATAATGTTTTTTTCATAGTACAAAGTGTCACGTCAAGCACATTCATTGATCATCTGCAGACTCAAAGTACTCTACAGCAAATTTATTGTGACTAGTATATTTAGTCTGACTTATAGCTTTGAAACCAATGGCAGAACTGGCATCTCCATTCGGACCTGGCCGAAAATTGATCTTAATGAAAGGCGTGGACTTCATAGTCCATACTATTAATTAAATCATATATAAGACATTTTTAGTAAGCTCATACTTTACAATTTCTTTCAGTGAAAAGTTTAGCTTTTATTAAATTTCTACTATGAAAATTTTCAATTATTGTTTACTNTGAAATATACGACATTTAAATAGTCATTATATTTCCCAAGAATATACCGGTAACAAAATCATTATAGTCTAGCCGTAATATAATAATAATATTTAAGTCAATAAACTAATTTTAATTTATTAGACTTAAGATCAGAGTTCAAGGAGAATAAACAAGATAATTAAATTTAGATTACTGCCGTCCAATTTTATAATGGAAGTAATTATGCATATGCATAAGTAAAGAACAGACAGAAATATGATTAAATTCTATTAACGAAATTAATGAGAATTGTGTATTATAGCTTTATTACTGACATGTTAAACATCATTATAACCCGTTTATTCTTTCTTTTTTTAAAATTAGGAACAGTTTAAATTTAAAAAGGGTTGTACAGTACAGTTCAACTGCTTTGAAATGAATGCATCTATTCATTATATCACGAATCATCAATAATGATGTTAAATAATGTTTTTACAATATTTTCAACTTAAAAAACATGAGAATTAA